AGAGCAGTGACTCGAGCCGGCGCGCCTTCTCCGTCTACAGCAGCTCACGGGCACCCGGGCGCTACGCCCCCAGCTACACCCCCAGGTCAGTCCTGTCACCCAGGCCACCTCTCGGCCAACCCAGGGCCACCCCGTCACCCCTGCGGTAACCACTACATCTTCCCCATGACCCTCTTTGTGTCCCCAAACTGTCCCAGTATGCCCTGCTGATCCCCATGTGCCTTGCGTCCCATGAATGTCTCATCTTTCCATGTCCTTAACCATCCCCACATTCCATGACTGTCCCTACAGCCACTGCCCATCTTTGTGTCCCCAAACAGTCCCAATATCTCCTGACCATCTCAGTGTCCCCATCCCCATGTCCCTGACCTGGTGTCACCCTCCCCAGTGCCCCCATGGACACCCACCTGCTCAGCAACATCCAGAAGCTTTTCTCCGAACGCATTGACATCTTCAGTCCTGTCGAATTCAACAAGGTAAGGCCACAGGGACATGCCCCTGTCCTCAAGGTCCCTAAACTGCCCACCTTCCCGGCTGTCACATGTCCCTGATGCTCCCCTGTCCTATGTGTCAGGACTCAGGGTCCCTGCGGCTGATGACCAGGGCAAGGGTGTCCTCGTGTCCCTATGCTGACGTGACTCAGGGCCTCCCTGTGCTCCCAACAGCCAGGCCGAGGGTGTCCCCATCCCCCTGCCCCATGTGTCCAGGCTTGGAAGCTCCAGCCAGGACAGTGGCGTTGCTCATGTCACCCATGGGCCCGTCCTGATGGGACCTGGGGCCTCCCCGCACTTGAAGAATCCAGGCTGAAGGAGCCCCTGTTCCTTTGTGCCATGTGTCCCCACGTCCCATGTGTCGGGACTCAGGGAATCCCTGGGGACTGGTGACCAGGATGAGAGTATCCTAGGAGCTGATGGCCTGGAGAGGGGTGTCCCCAATGTCCCCACATCCCTGTGCAGATGTGACTCGGGGCCTTCCTGCCCTGGGGGCATCCCTGTCCCCCTGTGCCACATGTCCCTGCTATCCCCGCGTCCCAGGTGTCGGTGCTGACAGGGATCATCAAGATCAGCCTCAAGACGCTGCTGGAGTGCGTGCGGCTGCGGACGCTGGGGCGCTTCGGGCTGCAGCAGGTGCAGGTGGACGGCCATTACCTGCAGCTCTACCTCTGGCGCTTCGCCGCTGACGAGCGGGTGGTGCAGGGGCTGCTGGATGAGGTGGCCGCCAGCGCCGCCCACCGCTGCCTCGACCCCGTCCCCATGGAGCACAGCGTCGTCGAGCTCATCTGTGAGCGCGGGTAGGACGTGGGGACACACAGGGGCGTGGGCTGATGTACGGGACATGGCATCACGTAGTGGGGGGGACACAAGGACAGGCACAGCCCAGCGGGGACATCTCTGGGAGGGGAGCAGCAGGTCTTCCGTCCTGTTACATATCTGGGGACACACCTGTGCTGTGTGGGTCCCCACACGTACGTGGGGACACTCCATGTGTCCTCCCCCACACGGCAACATGCAAGGATGTCCCATGTCCCCACATACAGCAACACGCAGAGACAACCCCTGTCCCCACACCAGGTCACCCCCTGTCGTCACCCCCCCACACTGGTAACACCCCACATTGTCCCTCCACCCCAGTGACACCCTCAACGTGTGCTGACACCCCGTGCTGTCATTGCGGCCCCAGTGACATACCGTGTCATCCCCCCACCTTGGTGAAATCCCCTCGTGCCTGGGCGCAGCCCCTTTGTCACAGTTGGGGACAATAAATAAAACGTGTGAGCTGTGCTTTTTGCCCCCTGCCTGTGCCTGGGGTAGGGAGGGGACACAAAAGGGACAGATGCCTGGGTCCCTGGGCGGGCAGGAGCAGGGTCGGGGGGCAGGCAATGCCCTGGGTGGTCGGGGAAGGGCAGTGCGGGAGGAGCAGCCCCAGAAAAAGGGATTCCTCACCTCGGCTGGGACACAGGGTGCCCACAGGGGCCAGGGACAGCCAGCGTGGCAGGGGTTTCCATGCTGAATGAAGTCCCCAACCTGTCCCGACTGCAGGCACCGCAACGGGCAGCTACAGCTCCTTCACAGCACTTGTTCGCCCTGCAGCCGGGCCGCGTTTCACCACCTTTGGGGTAAACAAGGTTGGGAAGTGGAGGCTTGGCCCTGGCCAGCAGATGAGCCCCCACCAGCCGCTCGCTCCCTCCTTTCCCCCCTGCAGCGGGATGGGGGATGAAAATGGCAAGGGCAAAAGCAAGAAGAACGCGAGGGTCAAGAGAAAGAACTTTAACAAGGGCAGGGGGTGGGAGAAAAGGAGGACGAGCGATGGGATGGCGGACACCCAGCACCTCTCACCAGCAGGCTGATGCCCGCACATCTCCGGGCGAGGGCTGCCTTAGGAGGACAGCCCGTTCCCTAGATTGAGGGATAGCTGCAGAAGACGACAGGAAACGGCAATTCCCGGTGTTCACGTGTACGTTCATGTTACGGTGTGACCCCAAGAGCACGAGAGCCTGCGGCTCCTGGGTGAAACCAAGAGCCCCATCCGCTTGTCCCTCGTTGTGTGCTTCCGGACCTCGCCAAGCTCTGGCCCTGCGCGCTGGGCGTCCCCAGCCCCCCACCAGCCCGACGATGCAACAGCAGAGGGGACGGGCGCCAGCAGCCTCCGTGATGTCACAGTGCGTCTCCGTGACGTCACAGTGCACCTCCGTGATGAGCCAAGGCCTCTCCCCAAGGCCCCCCCAGCAGCCCAGGCCACAACCCCTCCTGCCCTCGCCGCGCTCTGCCACCCAGAGCTGCAGCAGCCGACACGCTCATCCGCACCCACTCCCACGGCCAAGGCTGAGCAGAGGGAGGCGCTGCCGCTCCTCCCGGGGAGGCTTCACACCGGGCCTCTCTCACAGAAGCCCCTCTGCAACTCTCACCTCTTTGCCATGCCATTGGTAGGC